CATCAATGTCTTTACACCTGGCAGAACAATCACCTCTTCCAAACTTTACACAGTGGCTTTCACTTGCAGATGAGTCTCAGTGTGCTAATTGTGAAGACTGTGGTAACTCTGGTTCCAAGAAGATGCAGTAGTATAGACTTTGTACAGCTTTTTCAGCTAAGATTAGTGCCAGTAATGACTCTGAGTGCCTGAGTAACCATTTTATAGACAATGGGGAGTCTTCACTGAGGGATCCTCTAGGTGTCAGATCTGGCATGGCCTATAAACAGCTGCAGTAGTGCTGGGTTATAGGGGGAAGACCTCAGAGAGGCTGTGAAGCTAGGGTCCTAGGTTCAGGATTTTTCTCCTTGGAGAGGTGGAGTGCTCTGGAGGTTTGGGACCAGGGAGCAGGGTACAGCTGCAATTCAGGAACTAGGGCTAATAGGATATAATGGCAATGAAGTTCCCTGGGGGATGAAGCACCATCTAGTGGTGACCTTGGACCCTGGGATGATGGGGCACAGCGGTATTCCAGACTCTGTGAAGCTGGGTACAGCGACAGCAAAGAACCCAAAATGACACAGCTATCACTTGGGCCCTGGAGGGGTGGGGAGTAGGGGGCAGGGAGCAGAGCAGTGATCACTCCACTTACCTGAGAAGGAGGTGCCTCAGCAGTTCAGACTCTAGTCCAGCTAGTCAAGCTCTAGGGAAGCAGGGAACGAGAGTTGATTTTCCTGTTGGGGGAAGGGATGTCTCTGCTCAGCCAGTGCTTTTCCCTGGGATGTGGAGTACTATGTCAGCCCAGGCCTGGAATGCACAACTGCCCAGCTCAGCCAAAGCTTTGATTCCTTGGGAGGCAGTGCACTGCTTTTGCTCAGGCTTGGGGGTAAGTATAAGGGTAGGGGAAGTGAGGTATGACTGCTCTGGGTGGCCAACACACCATTTCCTGGGAGACAGCGCACTACTTTAACTCAGGCACTGGGGAGGCATGACTACTCTGAGAAGCCACAGTACCGTTTTCCCAGAAGGCAGGACACTATGCTTCAGCTCAGGCATGGGGCCAGGGGGCAGCAGCAATTGGGAGGGGTAGTTGGACCACTTTGCCAAGGCATTGTTTCTTTAGGAGGCAGTGCACAGTGTCACCTCAAGCCCCAAGGGGCAGGGCACAGCAGGGACTCAGAAGGGTATATGGAGCAGCTTTACCATGGTACTCTTTTTCTTCCACTGCCTTACAAGAGGCAGTGCACAGGTTCAACTCAGGTCCCTAGGGGCAGGGTGCAGCAGTGACTGAGAGTAGATTGAACAGTTTCATCAAGGCAGTTTCTCTGGGAAGCAATGTACAGCTTCCCCTCAGGCCATGTAGGGCAGGGTGCAATGGTGACTGGGAAGGGCAAATGGAGCAGCTCTGCCAAGGCACTCATTTCCCCTGGAGGTAGTGTATAGGTTCAGTTCAGGCCCTAGAGGACATGGTGCAGTGGGATTAAGAGGGGTAAATAAAATAGCTGCATAGCAACTTGGCCCACCGAGTAAGATGTAGCAGCAGATCAGGGATGGCAGGGCACCAGGCAGGAGTAGTCCAGCAGCCATTAAGCCTTAAGACTGGTAGGGTGCTATGCCACTTGCCCTCAGAGCAGGACACATTCCAGCAGTAGTTTACATTTCAGGATGACATAGTGCAGTAGCCTTGTAGGCCACAGAGGGAAGAGCACACTGTTAGCTTCTACTCGGGTAGCACAGCTGTGTGGGCTCCAGGCAGCTACCTCTGCTGGTTTAGTGCTTGTGAGGACTGTAGGTGTCCAGGGTGTTGATGGGGGCTGCTGGGGTCCTCTTGCTTACCTTTTCCCCGCAAGGAGACATCCTCTTGGTTCTAAGCTGATCCTGGCAAGGGAGTGGGGTGTTGGATGCCAGATATTTCCTGGGATGTGGAGTACTATGACAGAAAGCAGTATGTGACAATACTGATTTTCTGTGCTCTGCAGGGTTTCTGCTACTCCTTTGATGTATTCTGACACTCTCCTTTAGTTATTTTCATCAAAATATAGTTGCATGTTGTTTTGGTTGTCTTTGTGGGAGAGATGAGTACTAAGGGCTTTTAACTGGCCATCTTGCTAACATCCAGTTGACCTTAAATTCTTTTTTGTCTAATGTATGCTGGGTAGGACTCCCAGCATACTGTTGAATAGCCATACTGACAAGGGTATTTTTACCTTGTTCTGATCTTAAGGCAAAGGTTCTCAGTCTTTTACCCTTGAATATGATGTTATCAGTGGGTTTTTTAATTACATAAAATATAATTGTGGAGAAGACATGAAACATTCTAAATTTATAACAACCTAGTTTGAATTAACACTTTAACTTTTATAGCATGAAAACATCTGCTCCTTTGCAGCTTTATCTCCCCTTTTATATTGTTGATGTTACAAATTACATCTTTTTCCATTGTGTACTAAATAACATGGATATGTAAAGTGAAATTGCAACCAAAAATACACAAATATCAGCATTTATATTTGTTGTATAGTTACCTTTACTGGGCATCATTATTTCTACATAAGTATTTGAGTAGCTATCTAGTGTTCTTTCATTTCAATCTGAGTCCTTTAGCATTTCTTTTAGGGTAGGGTTACTGATAACAAACTCTTTCAGCTTTTGTTTATCTGGGGATGTCTTAACTTCTCCCTCATTTTTGAAGGACAGTTTTGCCAGGTATACAATTCTTAGTCAATGTTTTTTTTTTTTCTTTCAGCATCTTAAATGTTATTGCTTGACTTCTGACTTCCGTGGTTTCTGAAATTGGCACTAATCTTACTGAAGATCCCTCATAGGTGATGTGTCACTTCTCCCTCATTGCTTTCAAGATTCTTTGTCTTTATTATTTTTTTAATAGTTCAAATATGATGTCTTGGTGTAAATCTCATTGGATTTAACCTGTTGTAATTACTCATACTTCTTGGATATGCAGATTTATGCCTTTCACCAAATTTGGAAAGTTTTCTGCTATTATTCTTCAAATATTCTTTTTGTATCTTTCTCTTCTCTCCTTCTGATACTCCCACAATGTGCATGTTGGTCTGCTTGTTTGTGTTATACATGCCCCTTAGGCTCTGTTCATTTTCTTTATTATTTTTTTTCTGTTCCTCAGGTTGGGTATTTTCAACTGTCCTACCTTCAAGTTCACTAATTCTTTCTTCTGCCTGCTCAAGTTTGCTGTTGAACCCACTTAATAAATTTTTCACTTAACTTACAGTACTTTTCAGCTTCAGAATTTCTTTTGACTACTTTTTATAATTTTTATCTTTTTACTACATTCTCATTTTGATCATACATTGTTTTCCTAATTTCCTTTAGTTCTTTGCCCATGGTTTCCTTTAGTTATTTCGCATATTGAAGATAGTTGTTTTAAAGTCTTTACCTAATAAGTCTAATATCTGTGCTTCCTCGGGGACAAATTTTGTCCATTTGTTTTGTTCTGTTGAATATTATAATGCTTTAACTCTGAAAATTAGATTCTTCTCCTATTTTAGGGTTTGAATTTTTTGTTTCACTGTTTGTTGAAGGCTGTAATAGTCCATTTGTTTAGTGACTTTCCAAAGCTTTTTTGGAAAGACTGTACTAGTTTTCATGTGAGATCACAGATGTCTCTGTTTCTTCAGCTTTTGTTCAGTTAATGTTTTGATAGAGATTTACTTGACCTCTAGGAGGGAAAAAACGAACAAACAAACAAACAAACAAAACCTTCTCCAGTCCTTACAGATTATTTCTGTGCTGAAGTACTTATTCAGCACTTAGCCAGGCTTACACTGAGTCTGGAGATCATCCAAAGCTGAAAGTTTTGGGTCTTCTTTGGTCTTTACTGAGCATATACCTTGCCCTGGGATGCACATAGCTCTTGCCCTGGGCATTTACATAGCATTCTATATTTCCCAGCATACACAGATGATTTAGACTATCCTAATTCCTCCAAGAAAATTTCCTTAGCTTTTCTTCCAGGCTGTAGATGATTATTTTATGTATCAACTGTAATTTTTTGCCCTAGGCAACTGCATTTGTTAGCCTTATAATGTTTTCAAGCAATGTGCACTGCTTTTCTGCCCAGAGTGAGTTCTTTGTTAGGTGGAACAGAGATAAGTGCCTGCATCAGTCCTTCAGGTAGTTCCCAGATGGGTTGGAACAGACAAATATAACAATTTGTAAATAAGGCCTGCTATGTTCCTTTTGTAACCAGGGACCAGAGTTCCCCCTGGGAATGCAGGCTATCTTCAAGATTGCCACTGAGCTGAGCATGGGGTGGATCAAGTGCAAGTAGAAATGCCACAAAACTTTCCTGTGATCCTAAAGATGTCTTTTTCTTCATTCAGTGTTCACTTGGTTGCAGTAAACTCTTTCTGTTGTTCAGATTTTCGGAGTTCTGACAGTTTCTGCTTGTATTTTGAGATTTCTGTGGAGATGTGGGAACTTGGAGCTGCCTACTTCACCATTTTGCTGGATATCACCTATTATTTGTCATTAAGTGTTTTAAAGCATTGCTTTGTAGTGACCACATGTTGTTCCATTGTATAGATGTACCATAACTTATTGTAAACGATGCCGTAGTGAACATTTTTTCACATCTCTGATTAACTTTTTTAGCTTAGGATAAATTTCCAAAAGTAGAATAACTATGTCAAAAGTTATAAACATTTTTGTCTCTTCATATTTATCGCCAAATTGCCCTGCAGAAGGTTTGCATCAATTTATTTTCCCACAAGCGGTTTCGCATTTCGTCCCTCCCTACTCTGTAACTTAATGGTTTTTCCCTATTTATTAAGCCAAAAATGACGTCTTGTGGTTCTGTCTGCTCTTTTAAGAATTCTTTACATGACTTGAATTTGAATCCATTAATTGTTTTATTCCCTCAGTTTGTGATGTACTCCAATTTGTCCATTTCCTCAGATGTATAGGCCAATGAACTTACGCCATTCTTCTGATCAAGAATACGTTTTCCTGCTCTCATAAATATAAAATTTGTATGTATTTTATAGTGAATCTGAATGGTGCCTACCCCAAGCTGGTGCCTTTCAGACCTGCAGGACGGCTGATCTCTCCACCTCTGCTACTCTCTGTGATTTTCAACATTCTTCTCAGCCTGGCCATGCATATTGCAGGATTCATCCTGGTTCAGAGGCAGCCTTGGTATTCCATGGAGATACACAGGTATGAGTACAGTCTCAACTTCTGCTTCTCACATTCTAATTTCTATCAAACATCCTCTGGCCAATATGATGGGAGGCAAATGGGGCTTCATTCTGCCAAAGGTTTTGCTTTTTAAAGTCCCTTGGGCAAATTTTCAGTGATTATTTCTTCTCTGTAGCACAATTTAATGCTAATGAATGTATCATTCATTCATTAGCATGTATCTTTGCCTATGTTATATGATAATGGTCTATGACCATCTTTTATATCTAGGGTGACCATGGATTATAGCTTGCCCGAGCAGTCCCAGTTTAAGTAGCCCAGTTTAAATTAAGTGATGTCCCAGTGAAATTATTAACATCTTTTCTTTTCACCTTCAAAACTATCCTTGTTAGATAAGTTATATATTCACCTCACTTACAAATTATCAGAGATTTGTTGTTGCTGTTTTTATAGAGACGGGGTCTCTCTCTGTTGCCGAGGGTGGAGTGCAGTGGTGTGTTCTAGGCTCATCGCAACCTCTGTCTCTGGTTCAAGCAATTCTCCTGCCTCAGCCTCCCCAGTAGCTGAGGGTATAGGCACATGCCGCTATGGGCAGCTAATTTTTTGTATCTTTAGTAGAGATGGGTTTTCGCCATGTTTGCCAGGCTGGTCTCAAACTTCTGGCCTCAAGTGAGCCACCCACCTTGGCCTCTTAGGGATTACAGGTGAGCCACCACACTCGGCCAAATTATCAGCGATATTAAGCCACTTGGGGGAGGAATCATGACTTACCAATCTCTTTTCCATATAGCCTTAATGAATGTGCATAATTTATTGAATATATAATTGGCCGAATCTCTCTCTCTCTCTCAGTGTATCCAAAATATGGGTCTATCTGTGCTTGTTTTTTTTTTTTTTTTTTCCTATTTTTCAGTGTGTGTGTGTGTGCGCGCACATGTATTTTCCAAAGCAGAGGCAATTATAGAAGCATTGAGTGCCTGCTCTGGACACTGGTATGGAGTCTTCTGGGTACAAATGCTCCATAAAGGCTTGTCATCTCACTTCATTAGCTTCTTTGGTTTCCCTTTTAGTGCCTGTACAGTGCAAAATGAAAGCATCTCAGACTTAACCCTGTCTCCAGCTGCTCCAGAAAAAATGGAAAGTAATAGTGCCTTCACAAGTTTTGAGAACACTACGATCTGGTTCTTGGGAACAATCAACTGTATCATTGTGGCTCTTGTGTTCTCTAAAGGAAAACCATTTAGACAGCCAACCTATACAAACTGTGAGTAGAACTGTACTGAATCAGAGGTGAGAAGTCAATCGAGAGAGCAGACATGTCCAGGTCACTTAGGGAACAGCTGTAGAGTTGATTCTTATCTAGCATCTCTTGACTTCCACTCTAGGGCTCTGCAAAACACATTGTACAGCCTCGTTTCCATGGTTCTTTGCTCTTTCCTTCAAAGCTGCATTAAATACTAGGGCTTCTTTCTCCCTTTCCTTCACCAGAAGTTTGCCTCTGGGTGTCTTTTCTTGGGATCACTCCAAATTGAAAGGACCAATTTATTTCTCTACTTGTCAGTGCTTGTCAGAATTCACCCTGGAAACAATGGAGAGAAGCCTAACAGAACTCAAGTGGATCCTGTCTCTTGCCTTGAAGGCAGTAGTCAGGGTGGCATTGTGTGGTGGCAGGCTGCTAGTGGGTCCAGCCTGGAGGAATCTGACTAGAGAGGGTTATGGAGGCTCTTTACCAGAGTACCTCCCTCCTACCTCCTTACATTATGGAGTGGGAAGGTATGTTTGGATGAGAAATGAGTGACCTATTTAATATTTGAGACATTTATTTGTATATCATCACTACTCTTCTTATTGAAAAAATTCAAAGCCCAAATTGAGTACCTTTATGAATATTTTCATACAAATTTATTTGTTCAGAGAAAATTATTGAGCTTTTCTTCTTCCTGGGATGAGGAAGCAGCTAAATACTGACCTCTGTATGATAGCAATTTAAAATTGGGTTTATTGACAGGTTCCTTTATACCAGAAAATGATTTGAGGCAGATGACTTGCATTAAAGTGACTCAGATACTTGGATACCTTCAAGCCATTTATTGAACATGTATTTTGTCAATGTTACCCTGTATATACCTACTACTTTTATTAACTGAAACTTAAAATGTGCATGTGAAAATTTTCACTTGCTTCAAGGACACGCATAGAAATTGTAGAGGTGAGACCCATTGCTTAGAAATGAATACTTTCCACCTAGTATTTGGACGTAGAAATCAAGTAAATTAAATCAATGTTAATCTAGACTACATCTGTCAATATATGTGACATTTTTCACTCTGATTTCTTAAAATAATAGCTTGTGTTCTTATTTCCTCAGATGTATTTGTCCTTGTGCTGATAATACAGCTTGGTGTATGTCTATTCATTCTATTTGCTGATATACCAGAATTATATAGACGTTTGGATGTAAGTCTAATCTTTGGGATATGGTGATGCTTTACAGTTCTGTAACAGCTTAACTTTAAAAAGCAGATCACAATTTCAATTGGCATGATTTTTGACACACATTATTCTTTTGGGATGGCAGAGCTAAAAAAAAATGCTAAATTTATCTATATTTTTTATTTAAACTGGTCAAGAAATAAAATTCTACCCAGTTTTGATTTCATGAGGCTAAAGATAGTCTTTAAGTCTTGAATACTTTAATTTATTTTCTTCTTATTATTTAAGAGACAGGATCTCACTTTTTTGCCCAGTCTGGAGTGCCATGGTGCAATCGTAGCTCACTACAGCCTCAAACTTCTGAGCTCAAGCAATTCTCCTACTTCAGCCTCCCGAGTAGCTAGGACTGCAGTAGTGTGCCATGATGCCCAGCTAATTCTGAAGAAAAAAATTTGTAGAGATGAGGGCTTGCTGTGTTGCCCAGGCTGGTCTCAAACTCCTGGCCTCAAACTAGCCTCTTGCCTTGGCCTCCCAACGCACTAGGCTTAAGGCTTGAGCCACTGAATCTGACCAACTATTTTCATTTTAAAAGAACTCCTATAAGAGGAGAAAATGTATTTCTATATTTTCTCTTTTAAATATGAGGGAATTTTTTCCTAAATGCTTCCGTTTTTTGAAGTTGTTTAAAACTGTTTTACCTACAGCTTTTTGGGGGGTTATTATTTAGGTATTTATATATTTTTTTACAACTTTAAAAATGTTTTCTGTGTGCTCATACTTAATGTCTGTAAGACTTACTTTCCAAGAGCCATACTTTTCCTCATAAACTCTCTTGTATTTTGTAATATTGATACAGATATAAAAACCTACGAGATACCAAAATTTTACATATTCAAGCCAGGGAAAAACATATTTTGATCCCCTTAACCTATTCTACTTGTATTACAATTTAATCATGGCTACATGATCTTTAGATCAAGAAATGCAATAGTGAAGAGATGACTAAAGAAACAGCTCTTTTAATTGGTGCTTTGTATATCTGGTTGCCTCTCCATCTCAAAGATGAGTTTCATGAGGTCCAACAGTGTATCTTATTCATTCTTGTGTTACCAGTGCCTCACACAAAGAATGGCAAAATATGACAAAGGAATGACTGACTGATCATTGCGTATCAGACTCCTGAATATAAACAAGCACTTAAAGCATATAGTGTGTTTCCAACCAGCAACACCTGCACAAACCCACAGTGATATTTGGCATACTAATACCTTTAGTTTGACATACTAATATATTTAGCATGTGTCTTTTTATTTTTGTAATTACATTACTGTGGTTAGCAGTCATTAAGTGCCTCTGAATTAAATTAAGTTTTCATGGAAATAAGTAGGCTTTGTCCACTGGTCTTCTAAGTCAGCTAAAACTTCTTAATCCTACAGAAGTTAAGGATAAGATATGATGAGTTAAATGTCACTTTTTGATAGAAAAAGATTCTTACAGAAAGGCTGCGTCCTCTGTATAACAAAATAGGGAACGTATTTAATTTGGAGAGACTGTGGGCAGGGTCATTGCCAGCATGACTGCAAAGGATTCTGCAAAGAATTATTGTTCACTTTTAAAACAATTATTTTTCTCATTATTACATAAAATATATGTTCTTTTTAGAAAATGTAGAATGTGCAGACAAGGAGAATTATAATATTATTCACTATATTCTTCCTTCTTTTACAATTCATATATTATAAATGTGTGTTGACTAATTTTTAGTTTTTTTAAAAGAATGGAATCATGTTGTTTTGCAACCTAGAAACTGCTTACTTAAAAAATTATGAATTATTTTAATAGGGAACACATTCATTTGGTTCACAATCCGAATGTTTAAAAAGCCATATAGTGAAAATCCTCATTCCATCTTAGATTCCCAGTCACCAGTTCCCCTCCCTAGAGGCAACCAATGACACCAGTTTATTTTACATACTTTGGGACATATTTTGTACATTCTTCCTCCACATTTTTACACAGATAGTAGAAAACTATTATATTTGTTCAGGTCTTCTGAGAGGTAGATGTCAAGTTCAGTTTAGTTATGCAAGAGATTTATTGGAGGAAATTCCCGGAGTGGTGGGAGGGGAATGGAAAGCCAGAGGAAGTGGGGAGAGGCATACACTGTGATGTGGGTTTATCCTCTAAAAAGAAGAGAGGGAAGAAGGAGGGCTGGATGTGTAGCATCTCAAACTGCAGTGCACTAAGAAAGTCAGGCCAAAGTTGCCCATCAGGAGTTTCTTTTTTTATTATTATTATTATACTTTAAGTTCTAGGGTGCATGTACACAACGTGCAGGTTTGTTACGTATGTATACATGTGCCATGTTGGTGTGCTGCACCCATTAACTTGACATTTACATTAGGTATATATCTTAATGCTATCCCTCCCCCCTCCCCCCTTCCCACAATAGAACCCGGTGTGTGATGTTCCCCTTCCTGTGTCCAAGTGATCTCATTGTTCAATTCCCACCTATGAGTGAGAACGTGCAGTGTTTGGTTTTCTGTCCTTGCAATAGTTTGCTGAGAATGATGGTTTCCAGCTTCACCCATGTCCCTACACGATCTCATCCTTTTTTATGGCTGCATAGTATTCCATGGTGTATATGTGCCACATTTTCTTTTTTTCTTTTTTTTTTTGAGACGGAGTCTCACTCTGTCGCCCAGGCTGGAGTGCAGTGGCAAATCTCGGCTCACTGCAGGCTCCGCCTCCCGGGTTTTTGCCATTCTCCTGCCTCAGCCTCCCGAGTAGCTGGGACTACAGGCACCCGCCACCTCGCCCGGCGACTTTTTTGTATTTTTTAGTAGAGACGGGGTTTCACCGGGTTAGCCAGGATGGTCTCGATCTTCTGACCTCGTGATTCGCCCGTCTCGGCCTCCCAAAGTGCTGGGATTACAGGCTTGAGCCACCGCGCCCAGCCGTGGCACATTTTCTTAATCCAGTCTATCATCGATGGACATTTGGGTTGGTTCCAAGTCTTTGCTATTGTGAATAGTGCCGCAATAAACAGACATGTGCATGTGTCTTTATAGCAGCATGGCCCATCAGGAGTTTCTACGTCTCATAGGAATGAGTCTGATTAGAATCCATGCTGCCCTCATTTCTTGGCTATGTGCGGCTTATGACTTTAGATATGCTTTACAGCATGTGTGGTGGTGGATTCTGAGCATAACAGTTGGGGTATCCACAATTTATCCTCCCAGCAGCAGATCTGAGTGGAAAATTTTCATGACTGCTACAACACATACATTGTCCTGCACCTTGCTTCTTTCATGTAATAGTATTAATTGTTCCATATCAGTACATACATTTTCCTCATTCTTTTTAATGCTAATATATTTTATTTTATACAAATGTATATTATGTATATGTCATATGTATACCATGCTTTATATGTAGTCCCATATTGATAGACATTTAAGATATTTCCAAGTATTATTACAAACAAAGCTGCAATAAAAATATTATTGTGCATAGGTCATTTTAGCCGTATAAAAATATATTTCTGAGATAAATTCCTAGAAGTGGATTTGAATTTTTAACTTTGAGAACATTGTCCTCTACAGAACCGTTTCAGTTTTTACTCCCACTAACGCATGAGGTCATGCATAAGATAGTGCCAGGTACAGTGGGATGCCCTTGGCACTTTTTCATTCATTAATTCACCCATTGAATTACTATTCAATTACTCACTCACTATTACAAGAACAGCAAGGAGGAAATCCACCCCTATGATCCAGTCACCTCCCACCCAGCCCTTCCTCCAACATTGGGGACTATAATTCAGCATGAGATTTGGATGGAGACACAAATTCAAATCATGTCACTAGTTCTGCCTTGTATTTATGATGTGCGGTAACAGGACAGATCACCTCTCTGTAGCTTCCTCTTCCTGAGCAGCAGGTGATAGAGGTCATCATAGCTCTAGACCTAAAAAACACTCAAGGCGAGATGTAGAGATGGAGAGCACTGAAGTTTCTGTCTCTTTCTCTCTCTCTCTCTCTGTGTGTGTGTGTGTGTGTGTGTGTGTGTGTGTATGTATGTATGTGGTTTCATCTATTTTGTTTTAAGGCTTACTAAGGTTTCCTGGAAGTAAGTAAGATTTTAAAACCTTTACTTGATGCTCCTACCTTATCCCAGCTCTAAGAAGAACTACTGTTTTCTTGTTAATTAAGGAAGACAATAAAACCTTGCTGCAGGAAAGTAGAATAACTCACCATTCATTCACCATACATATATATCAGGAATGTGCCTGGAGGGGTTGGGGGAGACACAGAAAAAATGGGCAAAGGGACAGGTCATGACTGGCTTGATTTCACCTCCATTTGCTCCTTTAGCAAGTGCCCTTGTGAGGGCACACTGTGCAGCTGGATGCACAGTCCTGAGGGAGATGCCCTGAGCCAGTGCTAAAAGCAGGGCGCGGCTGGGGAGAGATGTGGCACCAGGGAGAAGAGGGCAATGCTACCCAGTTGTGAAGGTTTGACATGTGTACCCTTAGGCCTCCTGGAGATAAAGCCACATTCCTGCCTCCCTTTTGAAAACAGAACCAAACAAGCAAACAAAAAGTGATTTTAGTATTTTTTCTAATTGCAAGGTGACCAAAGTTATTTTAGGAAATTTAGAAATTATAGAGAAACACGCACATCACAAGAAAAAAAAAGATAGAAGAAAAGCAACTCTCATAACCTCCAGATCATTAGGATCATGAGTATAACCTTTCCATACTTTTTCTGTGCATACAAGCATAGAAATTCTTTACATGTATACGATTTATGTAATAGACACACATATATATTACATATGAGGTTTATAACCTATGAAAATATATACTATGAACATGTGAACGTGTTTCCAGCGTCTGCCTGTCTTCAGACTAACCGTGTTTCATCATCTCCCGCCAGCTGCTCTGCACGCCCATCCTGTGGAGGGTCTCCATTGTCATCATGCTCAGCTTGAATTTCATTGTGTCCCTTGTGGCCGAGGTAAGTGTGCTGATCTTGGCTGCTCATCTTGTGTGTGTACATGCGTATGTGTGAGGGGACTTCTTTGGGACTCTGAAAACAACTTTAGGTGACATGGACTCAGCAGTGCAGGGGCCCCCTTCCTTCACGGCGTAAGCAATGCTGCCTTCCTCTGATGAGTCCCAAGCAGGACATTAGTTTTCCCATCTGTCAGGTGGGGCTGGGGACAATGGAGTTATGATCTCTAAGGTCCTATTCATTTCTACATTTTCCAAATAAAGACCCAACACAATTTACTTTTTAAAATTGAGATATGATTCACGCACCATAAAATTCACCCTTTTAAAGTCCACAATTCAGTGGTTTTTAGTACACTCAAAAATGGTTGAGTTGTACAACCATTAACAGTACTTAATTGCAGAACATTTTCATCATTGCTAAAGAAATCCTGTACCTACTAGCCGTTGCTCTTCATTGCCCCCTCTGCCTTCTCCTGGGCCTTGGAATCACTCATCTTCTTTCTAACTGTGTGGCTTTGACTATTCTGGACATTTCATGTAAGTGAAACCATACAATATGTGGCCTTTTGTGTCCGACTTCTTTCACTTAACTCATATCATTTTTGCCTTACAGATGGGAAATGGCATTCCTAGTGAGCTTTTCCAGCTTTCATTCTCCAGCTCCCATTTGCTCCATTTTCTAGCTTTTGTTCTCCAGCTCCCCTGTGCTCCATTTCCTCAGTGAAATGAGCTTGTGCTCCTGCTTTGTTTCTCCACGTGATTCACGCTCTCCCCACTCAGTACTACCAGACACAATCTCCATTCTTCAAAGCCTGTTGGTAGGCAGGGGTGCCCTGAAAAGGCATTTATGAACAAAGGAGAGGTGAGGTTCTGAATCCCATCTGTCTCTGTTTCTGCTCTGAGTTACAGAACTAGAATTGTTGCAGCAAATGGAGTGTCATGGTGAGCTGGGAGAACCTGCAGCCTGACTTCCCTGCACTGTTGTGCAGGCAGGACCTCGGCGAGCCCTCCCTACTTACTCCTGTGCAGAGGGAAGGCTGCACAGGGGCTGGGGGCAGAATAGGACACAGAATTTCAGTAGTGGACCTTCTCTCTATGTGCTAAACAAGAGCTTCTCAAACTTGAGTGGGCATCAGAATCAGCTGGGAGGCTTGTTAAAACAACACACATTGCCAAGCCCTACCCACAGTGGGTCTGATTCAGTAGGCCTAGAAGGAGCATAGAAGTTTGCATTTCTAACAGGTTGTCAGGTGATTCTGATGTGATTAGTTCAGGGATCACACTTCGAGAAGCAATATGCTAAACCGTATGTCTCTAAAGCAACCGGATTAATAAAAGAGCATTATCACGGGTGGCCTCAGACCCAACGGCAGAATGATGGTCTTTGCCCTTTAAAGAAGAATCTAGTGGGTACATCTTATCCCTGTTCATAATCAGAAGATTTCCTCTGTGTGGTGTATCTTCCCTCCATTTCTACATATAAAAGTGCTATTCCATCCTCTACGGCACAACTGTAGTACTATCCTCTTCATGTATCTTTCCTGATCTCTGGATCAGGTAGGCAAGTAACAACTTAACCAACAGTGGCTTAAAAAACAATTATTGACTCAGGAAGAAGATTGAAGGTAGGTGGCTTCAGGACTGGCTTAGTAACTCAGTAGTGCCACTGGGAATGCACACTCTCTCACCTTTCTGTTCTAGAATCCTCAGACGTGGTCTTTCATGTTTGTGCCTGTGATTATGGTGTCCAGATAGCTTCCACATAGCTGGACTTTACATCTGTTTTCAGTGCAGGAAGAAAACAGAAGGAGAGGCCACAGCAAGCCAGTTTCCATCAAGTCTGGACCTTTTCTTGGGAAACGAACGTTTCGTGAAGCTCACTAGCAGACTTTCTTTTATGTCTTATTGATTAGACTTGTGTCTCATTGTCATCACGAGTAGAAAAGGATTCTGGGAAGTGGATCCATGTTGAAAATTACACAGTGTAGCTTAGACCATTTATTATTATTTTTTCCTTTTAGGTGGGCAGGGAAGAGTTGGGAGGGAATGGGCTATATGGTAATTAGGTATCAAAGTCTTCCATAATCCTCTAGTAGGAAGTTCTTCCTTTTTCAGCATATTTGCAGTTAAGAGCACAAGCTCAGGGGTAATCTACTGGGTTCGAATCCTGGCTCCACCACTTTCTTTCTGTCTGACTTTGTGCAAATTATTTCACTTATCTAACCTCTGATCAGCCCTGAAACAAACAGGTTTGAGCAGGACCTTATGCTTACCCTGCCAGGGCTCATGATCTAACCTCCAGCTGAGAGGCATGAGAGCTAGTGTGGATAGCTTTAATTGCTCCCACCTTTAAAACAATTATTTATGTGTTTATATAGGTATGCTTGTATGTATGAGTTATTTGAGTAGCCAGTCAGAAGAGCTCATGTGGTGAAATTTTTTTAAAGACATGTCTCACCAAGGCTTTCCTTTTGTTTCTAGTTGTTACTAGTCCATTCTCCCACTGCTGTGAACAAATACCTGAAACTGGGTAATTTATAAAAGAAAGAGGTTTAATTGGCTTATGGTTTTGCAGACTGTACAGGAAGCATGGCTGGGGAGGCCTCAAGAAACTTTCAATCATGACGGAAAGCAAAGGGGAAGAATGCAGGTCTTACATGGCCCGAGCAGGGGAAGGTGCTACACACTTTTAAACAATCAGATCTCATGAGAACTCACTCACTCTCACGAGAACAGCAAGGAGGAAATCCACCCCTATGATCCAGTCACCTCCCACCCAGCCCTTCCTCCAACATTGGGGACTATAATTCAGCATGAGATTTGGATGGAGACACAAATTCAAATCATGTCACTAGTTCTGCCTTGTATTTATGATGTGCGGTAACAGGACAGATCACCTCTCTGTAGTTTCCTCTTCCAGAGCAGCAAGGTGATAGAGGTCATCATAGCTCTAGAACTAAAAAACACTCAAGGCAAGATGTAGAGATGGAGAGCACTGAAGTTCCTCTCTCTTTCTTTCTCTGTGTGTGTGTGTGTGTGTGTGTGTGTGGTTTCATCTATTTTGTTTTAAGGCTTACTAAGGTTTCCTGGAAGAAAGTAAGATTTTAAAACCTTTACTTGATGCTCCTACCTTATCCCAGCTCTAAGAAGAACTACTGTTTTCTTGTTAATTAAAGAGGACAAAAAATCTTGCTGCAGGAAAGTAGAATAACTCATCTGGCTAAGTTTCCAAGAGGCTGAGATGGCTATATGGATCTTTAACAGCCTGGCAGCCAGCAGATGGTCAGTTATCACAGGATTAATTCAGACTAGCTGTTCTCTATCCTTTCATGGGCAGTGGAACCCAAATGGCAAAAATGGGTAGATTTTAGGAAAACTACTACTTAATATGATAACCTCTCATGAGTTATAAGTTATAACTTAGGCTCTATTCAAGGCACACTCTAACTCATGAAATAAAATGGCATTGCAAAATGTTTTCAAAGACACATGTCTTTTGTAATCTTAAAACTGTATTTCAGTGAAGGTGAAGGTTAGAGACATGTGTGAACAGGACCACAGTGCTTAGCCATTTGTTAAATGAGTAGTTCAGAAGGGTAGGCAAAGGGAGAGAGCTATGCCCTGCCCTGCCCTGCATTGTAAAGGGAGTTATATAAGCCTTACAACAAGCATAAGGAAGGGATTATTCTAATCCCTCAGTGGAGACTTGGATAGAGTAACTATTCTGCCCATAATAGGTGTCAGAACTGGGACCCAAATCCAGATCTGTTCAACTCCAAGACTGGCCTGTGTTTTAATTTCATCAACCTATGTTTATGAATATGCAGTGATATGTCAGGGTATATCCAAAACATGTCATACATGGGCCACATCTTTATGTAGGGTCAATTGTATTTAGTATTTAGTAGTAAGTCATTTTAAATGTCATTTTATATCCAATAAAATATAGATGTGCTATGGAGTGAAACATAGAATTTGAATAATTTTAAATTTAATTTAGATGTGAGATGAAAAAGAAACTTCATTTTTGAGGCAAGCCATTTCAAGTTATGTTCCCAGAGTCTTGAAATGTTGTACCTCTTACTTCTCCCACAGGAGGTACTTAAATAGAAACATTTGAGAAGCCAATACCTGTCCAGTGAAACCACCTTAGATTCGTCCAGTGATCAAGCTCTTTGTCAAGCTGGATCTAAGCACCAGTGCAGTAGTGACTTATGATGACCTGTGGAGGGCTGTAGCCTAAAAACACTCAACCCCGATTGTAAAAAGTAATTCTTTTATTTTGCAGGAGGCCGTTATTGAAAATCGAGCCCTGTGGATGATGATTAAAAGATGTTTTGGCTATCAATCAAAAAGCCAGTATCGGATATGGCAGAGAGATTTGGCAGGTGACCCTAGTTGGCCCCCGCTGAACCAAACCTCCCACTCTGACATGCCGGAGTGTGGCAGGGGCGTGTCTTACAGCAATCCGGTATTTGAGAGCAACGAAGAACAACTTTGAAGGACATGTGATGTCCAAGGTGATATTACAGAGAAACAATGACAAAAGGGACCAGTTTCATTGATTTTAAGAAATGAGTCTCTTGTAACATCAGCTGGAGTTTCGGGGATACCTGTCAAATCATGGTGACAGACTAAAGTCTGTTTGATAAAATGCTTTCTACAGAGAAGAACATTGACCCAGAAGAGTGCTTTCCTCTTGGCTTGTGAAGGTATTGGAGGCGTTCAGTGAAGGCAAGAATGGGCCAAGAATTGCTATGGGCCAAGAGACAAGCAGGCTGAAGGGGAAAAATATGTGATCTTTCTTCTTAGGACAGGACAATACTTTCCTTTTTATAAAAATGAATTAAGGGGAAGTAGTACTGTGTATACTCATGGAGTTGTAACATGTTAAAGAGCATTTTTGAATTTTTACTTCATCGATGGAAAAACTAATGCATGGGAAACGTTACACCAATCTTTACTGTCTGGGTTCCTTTCCTCTGTAGTGCTTTTCAGATTTGAGGCTTTTTCTTCTGCTTCTGGCCTTACTCTACATGTTATTAAGGATAAGCTCAGCCTATGCTGCAATAAAAAACACCTCTCAGATATCAGTGCCTTAACACACAAGCGCTTCTTCCATGATCCAGGTGACACTCTGGACCTGCTATTCTTACAGCAGCGACTGCTTCAACCTGATGGCTCCATCAACTCGATGCAAGGACTCTTGTGTTGACTGTGATGGGGGAAGGAATAGGCTGGAGATCACATGTGGACTCTTCACTGCCTCACCGCAAAAGTGGCACACATCGCTTTCCCTACGCATATCTCGTTAGTCAAGGATTGGGCCAGGGAGCTGGAAAGTGCAGTCTCCTGTGTTTAGGGATGCTTCCTAGGCTTATGAGCTGTCACTACACAGGGCCCCAAGCTTAGAAGGGCCCACACTTGCTTTCACACTCTGCCGTTTCCATCTTAAAATTCTTAATTTTTGAACAAGGGTCCCTGTATTTTCATTTTGTATCAGGCCCCACAAAATGATAGAATTGATCTGGGATGTAGTCCTGGGAAGGAAAGGAAAATAACAGATCAGAGAACACTAGTGCTGTCCACTACAGTCCACTTCTCCTAACCCCAGTCACTTATCCTACGTTTTAGGAACCTCTCATGTCACGTGGCCAACTCCAGAAATTTTCACTCCTCTGCTTTGTTATTTTTGAGAAACATTAGTGTCATGCTACAGCATTATATGGCACTAGTGATGGAAGTTCTTACACAACCAGTACATTTTTTTAAGTTTGTGACTTCAGTTTCCAGAAAACTAAAATTTTCCTTGTTTTATCACTGTTACAATTTGGTTATATCTGATTTGTTCAAAACAAGGAAGACTCAGGTTTCTGTTAGCTCAGGAGACAACACTGAACTCTAGGAGCACATCTACACATAATGCTTTCAGGCAAAAGCAAAATTTTTATTCTGAGCATCAAATCCTGGGTGAATGTTCTGATCAGGGGATAAGTGTCCTGGCCCAGGCTGGCTTTGCAACTTATCAATAGCATTTGCAAGCATTGCTTCCCCCTAATTGGGCTTTTGAGCATGGCTGATGGCTCTGTGATTGAAGCTGATTCTAGGAACGTGGCATCTCCCAGCCACGAGGGTACCCTGTTACTTCTGGGTAAAAGAAGGCATGAAGATATTAAAAGAGGGCATGAAGATATTTTAGTGTTTCAAGATTGCAGAATCATTGTCTTTTTTGGTACACGAAGAAATATTTCCTTTTGCAAAGTCAGCCTCAGCAATGATATGGCAGTTCTGAATGTCCTTTTCTAAAAGTGTTTCTCATTTTCCAAAAGTAGAGGGTTATAGGCAGGGGCAAGCTAGAGATGGTCTGCGACCTAGTCATGAGCAAGATGAGCCTGCACAGTTCACACTTCAGTGTGCCCTTTGCTAAGTGTGTTCACCTCCACTAGCTCACCTGAATTGTACAATTGTCCCATGACTCAACAAGGAAGGGCTTATCATCTCCACTATACAGACGAGAAAGCTGAGATTCAGTAATGGCAAGAGCAGATCTAGGCCTCAAATACAGACCTTCTGAGCAAAGCTTATATTGCTTCCAAACACTTCCTAATTACGGAGCTCCAGCACGGCAGGTTGCTTAGTGTGATCTCACAGTCACGCAAAGAATGGGCAACTCTTTGCTAATACCAGGCCCTCTGTTCAAATGAATGCCAGGCATCCTGCCAGGCCTGGGCTAGAGGTGTGTTCAAAACAAAACAAAACAAAACAAAAATATGATTGTCTTTCGGAGACTTTGAGTTGCTCTTGCCTTGGTCCTAAGTGATTCTATCCCTAGGAAAGGCTGGCAGGGAACAGGAATGAAAGAATCTAGTCCTCCACTAGCCAAGCAGCCATAAAGTCTTTGGGAAAAGAGACTCATTTTGAAGACTGTATTCCTGGAACTAAGTACATCTTAGAAGCAGTAATTGAAGGAACAGGGAGTGCCTAGCCCAGAATAAAACAGTCAGGGGACTGTGAAGGGTTGTCCTGAGAAAGAAGGGTCTGACTTGTGTCAGGTGACACGAGAAGGCAGAATCAGGACGAGAGGGTAAAGATCACAGCGGGGATGGCTTCAGGCCATCTGCCCTAACCACTGTCCTAACAGCCAGCTCTGACAGCAGTGGAATGTGCTCTATGACACTGGAGAAATGAGTGGCTATTCAAAGGTCAAGTAGAGAAGGAAGTCAGGTATCAGATGAAACTCAATTACCTGCCAGATCTCTTTCAAGCTTGATACACCCAATGTCTCAGTCTTATGCTGTGATGTGAATCTTTTTGTTTTGAGATGGAGTCTCACTGTGTCACCCATGCAAGAGTGCAGTGGTGCAATCTCGGCTCACTGCCAGCTCTGCCTCCCAGGATCACGTTATTCTCCTGTCTCAGCCTCCCGAGTAGCTGGGACTACAGGCACCCGCCACCATGCCCGGCTAACTTTTTGTATTTTTACTAGAAACGGGGTTTCACCGTGTTAGCCAGGATGGTCTCGATCTCCTGATCTCGTAATCTGCCTGCCTCGGTCTCCCAAAGTGCTGGGATTACAGGCGCGAGCCACCAGATGTGAACCATATTCTACTGCTACCCACACAGAATACCAGACCGACACTGATGGGAGGATGGGCTCTGGAGGGAGAGCTTCCAGCCCTGTCAGATCCGATTGTGTGGACGTATAGACTCAACTGCCCTGTCCCTTGAAAGGGGGAGATAAGATCCTAGGAAAGAGGTGGAGAGTGGGGGTCCTGACTGTCAGACTGAAGCTGGGGGAATACTTCTGATTCGTGAATTTTCTTAGAGAGGTGTTAAAAAACTTTGCCTGAAAGAGCATGGGAGGGTGCCCTAAACTTGAGGGTGGAGCAACCTGTTATCAATACACTTTCTTGACCAGAGTCTGAAGGAGAAAAGAACACAGTCACATAGTCCAAATCATTTGAGACGGTGCCCTGTATGCTCATCCCAAGGCGCCTAGCTCTTACCCGCAGAGAACCCTGACTCTGGGCTTCCCTCACTAAATATGTAACGATCTGAGAATGCAAATACGTCTGTGACGCCTGTATCCTTATGTGCTTATGGAAATGTTCACATATCCACCTGCAGATGTGATGACTGCAAAAAATGATTATTTATTCAGAGCTTTGTATTTAGTTTGTGCTATAATAAATTATTCTGTTCAAAAGAGGCACGTCAAATCTATCATTCAGTTGTTGTAAAAATCAATCTCTCTGCGGTGGAGTGTTTCACTCTGTCTAATAAAACGGTGTGGTTTACTCCAGTAATGTTGAATCAGACAACATCTTTACAAAGTTCCAGGCATTTTCTAACACCACAGATGCTATTCTCTGCTTTATACACAGGACAGTAGAGTTTACAAAATACTTTCATCCTTGTTCTCTCATGTAAGCCTCGTAAGAACCTTAGGAGGAAAGCAAGGCAAGGATTACCGTCCTTCTTCTTTTGATGAGGTACAAGGCTCCCCAGACGGCTCAGTGACTAGGACACACGGCCCATGCCTGGAGGAGCTGGATTCAGATGCAGGTCCTTTATCAGCGAGATCCCTGCTGTGTCACTCTCCTACATTGTTTTTCCTGAATGAAAAAAGAAAAAAAAAAACCGTAGCATTGAGAAACAAGACGACAGCAAGGCAAATGCCCAATGTAATTGCCATCATGAGCACACTTTCTTCCAGAAAGAGATTTTCGTGTCTCATGGACGTTCTCTGGAACCTGACCATCAATCACAGAAAAGGCCAACTCCCACAGCTGAGAGAGGAAAATCGTAACACCAGAGCCCTGTGAGCCCATTTCATGTGATCGGATAAAGCTCTGGGTTCTGACTTCAGTCCGCAGAAACAGAAACCTATATCCCTGCTTGATCTTTATTCGGACCTGCTCTGCACAGCTTTTCAGGTTCCTGTAGGTTCTCTTTTGGCTTTGAACTGTGCTCACTTCTCTATGCATAAATATTTGGAAAACCACCACCCCATGATATTCTGTCTGCCCTTTGGTTTCCATTAGACTTTTTAACAATGGACTTTAAACTTTATTAGTAAAATGATTTTCTTCAAAATTAAACAAAGATAAAATTAACAACAAAACACAACTCTCCCGAAGTCGACGAAAGAGCCTTAGGAGTGAGCCACATGGCTTTGTCAAACACTCTGAGCTTGCTCCATCCTCAGGAAGATTGCATTTGCCATCCTCTGTGCCTCGAATGCTGCCCGCCACCAACCCCCTGTTTCCATTCCTGATTCCTTCTCCTTCAGATTTCAGCTCACTTGTCGCTTCTTCCAAGAAGCCTTCCCTGACCACTTTGTCTAAGGCTGCTCTTGCTCCACTGCCGTGGTTTGTTTTCTGCATAATGTCTGTGCCAGTCTTCAGATGACTGAGGCTGAAAGAGCACTACTTGTGCAAGATCACATAATGGGGAAATGAATGATCCGAGTCTATAATCTAGACCTACTGACTTCCAAATCAAGGTTGCTTACATTCTTCATATCTAGCCAGATTCTGCTAATTATATTAGCTAATCTGTCAAGAAAAAGAATGCGGGATGCTGCAGAGCATTGTCCGCGGTTGGATGAAAAGCACTCAGAGTCATCCAGACTCTCCCAGCTCTTTTCCTTGCTGTCTTGACTTCGAAGTGTTTCAACGCCTTGAAAAATCTGCTGAGTCACTGACCTGTGATAAAGGCTGCACACATAGTTACTATGGAAATTCTCAGTTGACAATTGTGGATAAAGGGGGTTACACTGCAGAGAGGTCTCACGTGTGTCGTATGTATTGCATGCTGCACAGTCCTAGGAGGCACCATTCATCGTGTACTGCAAGCCCAGGGTGACGGTTTTGCCTCATATCAAGGAAGTTTTGTGGGTAAATAATGGCTTTTACCTTTGTAATTGAAAAGTCCCACCTGCGCCTGCTACAACCCATTCCTAAGTCTCCAGACCCTCTCTTGGCAGTGTCTCTCATGCAGAACTTCCTCTCCTCTAAGCCCTTGGTTGCCGCCTGCCTGATTGCAAGAGCTTCTTAACTGGTCTCCCTGACTGAGATCTTTCCTCCATTTTTTCTTCTCAAAGTCTCTATCTGTTCTATTGCACAATTCCGATGATGTCATGTCCATGGTCAGAAACCCTTAATGGTTTGAACTGTCTACTGGATAAAGTACACATTGCTTACTAAGGATTTCAAGTCCTTCTCCACTGGCCACATCTGACTGCATCTCAGATCTTTTCCCATATTGCATTCTCTACTTCAGGAAACTGAATTTCCTGTTACTCTCAGCATTCAGTCCTCACTTTCCCACCTCAACAGCTGATATGGTTTGGCTCTGTGTCCCCAACCAAATCTTACCTTGAAGTGTAATCCTAATGTGTCAAGGGTGGGACCAGGTAGAGGTAATTGGATCATGGGAGCAGTTTCCCCCATGCTGTTCTTGTGACATTGAGTGAGTCTCATGAGGTCTGATGGTTTTATAAGTGTCTGGCATTTCTCCTGCTGGCACTCACTCCAACCTGCTGCCCTGTGAAGAATGTGCCTGCAGCTGAGCACAGTGGCTCACGCCTGTAATCCCAGCACTTTAAGAGGCCAAGGTGGGTGGATCACCTGAGGTCAGGAGTTCGAAACCAGCTTGGCTAACATAGCGAAACCCCGTCTTTACTAAAAACACAAAAATTAGCTGGGCGTTGTGGTGGATGCCTGTAGTCCCAGCTATTTGGGAGGCTGAGGCAGGAGAATCGCTTCAACCCTGGAGGCAGAGGTTGCAGTGAGCTGAGATTCTGCCACTGCACTCCAGCCTGGGCAACAGAGTGAGACTCTGTCTCAAAAAACAAACAAACAAAAAAGGTACCTGCTTCTCCTTTACCTTTTGCCATGATTGTAAGTTTCCTGAGGCCTCCACAGCAATGTGGAACTGTAAGTCAGCTAAATCCCTTTCCTTTATAAATTAACCAGTCTCAGATATTTCTTCATAGCAGTGTGAGAACAGACTACTACAGTAAATTAGTACCGAAATGGTAGGGCACCACTATAAGGATACCTGAAAATGTGGAAGCGATTTTGGAACTAACAGGCAGAGGTTGGAACAGTTTGGAGGGCTCAGAAGAAGACAGCAAGATGTGGGAAAGTTTGGAACTTTCTAGAGACCTGTTGTCACCAAAATGGTGATAGTAATATGGACAATGAAGTCCAGTCTGGGCTGGTCTCAGTTGGAGATGAGGAACTTCTGGGGAACTGGAGCAAAGGTGATTCTTGCTATGCTTTAGCAAAGAGACTGGTTGGCATTTTGCCCCTGCCCTAGAGATCTGTGGAGCTTTGAACTTGAGAGAGATGATTTAGGATATCTGGCAAAAGAAATTTCTAAGCAGCAAAGCATTCAAGAGAAAGCAGAGTGTACAGCAATTTGCCATAAGTAACAAGGAGCTGAATGTCAATCATGAACACAATGGTGAAAATGTCTCCATGGCATGTCCATGGGGAAAATGTCCTTCATGGCTACCTCTGCCATCACAGACCCAGAGGCCTAGGAGGGAAAAATGATTTCCTAGTCTGGGCTCAGGGCCCCCTTCCTCTGCACAGCCTCCGGACATGGTTCCCTGATTCCCAGCTGCTTCAGTCCCAGCTGTGGCTAAAAGAGGCCAATGTACATCTCAGGCTGTTGCTTCACAAGGTGCAAGCCCCAAGCCCTTGTGACTTACACATGGTACTGGGCCTGTGGGTGCACAGAATTCAAGAACTGAGGTTTGGAACCTCCACCTAGATTTCAGAGAATGTACAGAAACACCTGGATGTCCAGGCAGATGTTTGTTGCAGGGGCAGAGCCCTCATGGAGAACCTCTGCTAGAGCAGTGTGGAAGGGAAATGTGAGGTTGGAGCCTTCACAAAGAGTCCCCACTGGGACACTGTCTAGTGGGTCTGTGAGAAGAAGGTCAACATCCTCCAGACCCCAGAATGGTAGATTGCCCAGGCTGGAGTGCAAGACACTACTTGGCACAGTCTCAGCTCACTGCAACCTCTGTCTCCCAGGTTCAAGCAATTCTCCTGCCTCAGTCTCCCAAGTAGCTGGGATTGCAGGCGCCCGCCACCACGCCTGGTTAATTTTGTATTTTTAGTAGAGACGGGGTTTCACCGTGTTGGTCAGGCTGGTCTCGAACTCCTGACCTCAAGTGATCCACTCACCTTGGCCTGCCAAAGTGCTGGGATTACAGGAGTGAGCCACTGTGCTGGAGATGCGTGTTTCTAGTGACTGATGCAACACACACAAAAGTATAGGTGACATAAAGAGTCTTTTCATATCTGTAAGTGGCTAAAGGAGAAAGAAAGTGGTTAAGAGAGATAGAGAAGGGCCAAGGGTG